TTAGGCGCATTGTTGCCGACCCCGGGCCTAAGCATTCTTCTCAAACTGCAGATACAGTCAAGGTCGATGATGACCTGTCTCGAAGTCTGCGAAGTCCCGGAGTGTTCTTGCAACCCCCGGTACTGGGCGTCTATCCTTGCTAGGTGTGATCTGGTATAGTTTTTCCTGATTCTGGGAATTAAACAATGTCTTAGTGACAGTTGTCGGGAGTGAAATTTCGTTTAAGGTTTGACATATAATCTAGGAACACCAAATTTTAGCTACCTGGTTGATTTTTGCACAGTCTCCAATGGCGCAGTGGACGGCTGATGAACTCAGCAGTGCGGTTAACCTGTCCGAAATACATACAACAAGCAGCAGTAGGAGCTATGAGCCTAGCAATTGTTTAGATCACTGTCTCCATGGTGAGCTATTTCAAATTCCCGAACTTCACATCCTCTGAAACTCGGCTGGCAGCCGAGTGCATATTAAGAAAAAATTCAACCTTAGGTCGCGCACATTTCAAACAGTGAAGTGGTCAGTTTACGTATAATTTCACAAGCCAGTGGCGAGATCTGTATAGATAACGGTTTTCCGTGACGATTATAATTGAAAAGACAGAAAAGCGCTTCGGCAAACCCCTCGATATTTGTAGGATAGAGTGGAAAAAATAAAAGAAAGCTTACTTCCAAAAGTCAGCCAGTCGAGATGAACATCGGACTTTGAAGACCCAGTGGTTGCGGCAACCGATATCAGTAAACAATTAATTTCCGCTGAGGAGGATGACTGAATGGCATCCAGTAAATAAGCCGATGGAGCCACTGTAGGAATTTCATATTCCAAAACAACCTAACAAGAGCGGAAGACAAACATACGAAGGTCAGGTAAGGCAGAAGACGGCTTAGGGCGAAAGCAGACCCTCGTCACTACATAGTTTGTCTACACTTATGAAGGCAAGCATGAAAAACTTTTTTGGGGTAGGGCTGTCTTTAGGGGTAATATTTGCTTTGAATTATAATAATAAACTACTTTTACATTTTCAGTAGCTCGACTGTCCTTTTTTCGTTGATTTCCACCAATATAAGGTCGAACTTCCACCAATAGGCATCAGTTGTCTGGGCAACAGGAGTTTATGTTGGTGGAGTTGATTATATTTAGCCCACTTAAACAATTATAAGTGGCAAGCAAAAGGTCCGTCTGCTGTCTGCGTTGTAGCTAGAGGCTACAAGCTTTCGGGAAGACGTACAGAACATAGACTATTACAAAACATATTCGTTGCAGTGGAGACAATCGACATCCTGTTATCTTTTAACGAGGCTTGCTTTTCCAGTTGCTCGAAAATTTTTTTTTTGAGCACCACGGAGTTTTTTTTTAATAAAGACCGAAATAAACCTACATTCCAGGAACTGAAGGTTTTTGAGGTCCGATTTGGTGTATCCAGCATATAGAGCTTACGAGCGCCGTCACAAACAAGGGCGTAATTGGACAAAAGTTTCATTGAGGCATTACATTTAGAGCCGCTGTTAAGAGGTTCTGCCCAGGAAGGCACTTTCCATACAATCGACCCGGAGGAAAAGAGTTCCTTTCTTGGTCGCACGGCCATGCCCTTGATCTAGAGGAAAAAAAGCAAACTGACGACTCGGAAGGAGGCACTACCTGCCCATCAGCTGAAAAATAATAAAAAGTATCAGGTGAAAACCGATCTTGAAAGACTGCATTGTGTAGAAAGGAGAGGCGGATTTCCAGTTTTGAGAAAGTGTCTTGACCCACAGTTTTTAGATCAATTCCTTTTGACATACATAGGATAGGCATGAAAATCAGAGGTACCATTAGGTTCCGAGGCAGAAAGTACCGCAGTGCGCCTCAAGGAGAGCTTATAGGACTCAAAGTTAGGGTCTAGAAGATCCCGGTTC